AGAACCTGTCCTTCCTGGACCTCTGCTACTCCTCTGTCATCGCCCCCAATGCCCTGGCCAACTTCCTCTCCCCCAAGGCCATCAGCTTTGGGGGATGTGCTGCCCAGCTGTTCTTCTTCTCCTTTCTTGGGACCACTGAGGCTATACTTCTGGCTGTGATGGCCTATGACCGCTTCATGGCCATCTGCAGCCCCCTGCAGTACCCTGTGACAATGTGCACTGCTACGTGTGTCCGCCTGGTGCTCGGAGCCTACTGTGGAGGCTGCCTCAACTCCATCATAGAGACCAGCCTCACCTTCCAGCTGCCCTTCTGCAGCTCCAACCGCATCGACCACTTCTTCTGTGACGTGCCCCCCCTGCTCCGGCTGGCCTGTGCCAACACGGCTCTCAACGAGCTGGTCATGTTCGGCATCTGTGGTTTCATCCTTGTGGGYRCSAYWCTMGKGRTCYTGGTCTCCTATGGCTACATCGCAGTGACCATCCTCAGGATGCGCTCAGGATCTGGGCGGCACAAGCTCTTCTCCACCTGTGGCTCCCACCTGACAGCCGTGTCTCTGTTCTATGGAACTGTGTTTGTGATGTACGCCCAGCCAGGAGCCGTGGGGTTCATGGAGCAGGGCAAGGTGTTCTCCGTCTTCTACACCCTGGTCATCCCAGTGCTCAACCCCCTCATCTACAGCCTGCGGAACAAGGACGTGAAGGACGCCCTGCGGAGGCTGGGAGAGAGGCCCACAGCCTTGTGCAGTAGGGAGGCTGGTGAGAGGCAGTGTCCATGAGGACTGATGGAAAAGCTCCAAGGGAGACAGTGCATATTGCAACAACAGTCCATGTGTGTTCCAAGTCTTAATTTTTCCTTCCCTTCTTGCTTTCTTGCTCCGTCTGTCTTTCCTTCCATCCATGATCCAATCCTTCATAAAAGCATACCATGGCTCAGACCTTATTAAATACAAATGTGTCATGTTCTTTGCCACCAGAAAAGCACTGGTCCAGAGATTGAGCTGACCCATGTCCTTCATGCTTTGTTGGAACACACAGAGGCCTAAGCAGAGCGCTTTGGAAGTACACCATGGAGCTGGTGCTGACATCTCCCAGTGAAGGCTTCTCTTTCCCTCATCACTGAATGTCCCTGTACCTGGGGACCCCTCCTGTGCTCCTTGGGACTCTGAAGTGGCTGCTGTGGAGCCTATCTTACCGGTGTCGCAGGCAGTTCCGAGAGCTCTGAAGTCTAATTGTCCTGGTGTCACCCGCTCAGGTGCTGCCTCTGCCTCCCTCCCTGTGCATGATGCTGGCCTCCTCCTGTACTTGGCCCCTAGGATAACCCCCAGCCCCCAGCAGCAGCCCCAGACACACCACCCTCCTGAGACGAACCTTCCAAACCCGCCTGCTCCCGGTGATCACAGAGAGTTGTGCTTCGTCCCATAGAGGCTGCAGAGGGAGGATGGGCTCTGGCGGCAGCACCAGGTGGAGGTGAGGAAGGGATGGTGCACCCCGTGGTGGCCTGCTGCCTCCAGTGCTGGCTGACAGCCTGCACCCGTAGCTAGGGTGGACCCTCTCACCTACCCCCTCCTCACCCCACCCACCCCCTGGGCTCCATCCCGGGACCTAATTGATATGCCTGTCTGTACTGGAACCACCCATGCCCTGGCCACCACCAGCAATCCGTCCTCCTCCTGGAGGGCCCTGTGTCCCTGCACCTCAGCCTGGTCTCCCCTGCAGGAGCCTGCCCGTAGGAGCCCTGCAGCAGCCAGTTCCGAGTGCTGCTCCCCGTCAGCTCACCTCACCTGCACCCACCCCCAGCGCCCAGCTCTCCGTGACTCTTTGTCCCTCTGCTCGGGTGCCTGCTGGATGCCAAGTCTCTGTTTCTCTCTGGCTCTCCTGCTTCCTGCACGGTGTGTCTCGTGTCTGGTAACTGCCTCCCGCTGGAGTCTCCCTCCATGCCCTTCTCTCTGTGCTTTCTCACACGTGTCCTGTCAACCACGTGTGAAGTTGCTTCTTGTTAGTCACACATGACAACAGCATCCATGCCTGGTGCTGACCTGGGCAGGGTCTCCCCAGGGCTTCTCTCCACTCTTCAGGGCCTGTGCCCAGGAGTGGGCTGCCAGATGACCCAGCAGTTCTCGCCTAACTGTCTGTGCATTTATCCTTACTAATTCTTTTAGTCACACATGACAGCAGGGTCATTTTGATGTGATCATGAAGGCGTGGAATACAGTCTGCTCTGATTCAGTCTCCGCACCCCTCCCTCGACTCTGCTGGCCTTCCGGGGCTTTCAGGGTCTCCCAGACATGCGTGGAGGTGGCTCTGCGGTGGCACAGGCACACAGGCACGGTCTTTGAAAGGCCCACCTTGCTCTTTTCGCTGCCTGCTGTGCCATCTTGACCCCCCAGCAGACGAGCGCCGCCTCCCCACTGCCTGGCCAGCTCGAGGTCCTCGGCAGGTTCCGGCAAGCCACCTACCAGGCACAGACGGCGTCTCCTTGTGGAGTGATTCACATTTCCCAGCTGAGTGGTGACGTGCAGCACCCTTGTAGGTGCTGGTTGGCTGTTCTGGGTCATGTTTGAGCTTCCTCTGCCCAGCTCTCAGTGGGCCTCTGGGGGACACTCAGCGGTCAGTTTGTTTTTGAGTGGTAGGACTCTGACTCCTGTCACATCTGTGATTTACACATCCTCTCCCACTCTGGAGGCTGCCCTTTCACCATGTTAATTGTGGCCTTCAATAAGCAGAGGTCCTATGTGGTGTGGTCTCGGCTGTCCATATTCACTCTTGCTGCTGGAGACCCAGGGCTCAGCTTTAAGAAACAATGGCTGAATCTGTCCTGCAGCCTTCCCTGTATTTTCTCCTGGGAGTTGTATCATCTTAGGTCTTAGGTTTGGGTGTTTGGTCCAATTCTCATTTGTGGTGCCAGGGAGGATCCAGGTTCAACCTGCACGTGAGCACCTTCCCGGGCACCCTGCTCCGAGGGGTCTCTTTCCTTCTTGGTGGCACTGGAGACTGTCAGAGAACACTAGCCGGGTATGTCGGGGTCCAGGCCTGGCTCTGCTCTGTCTCACTGGCCCACACGTCTGTCTCCTAGTCCTACACTCTCGTTTGTTGTTCACCAAAGCTTTGGAAGACTCAACCAAACAGTGCAGACCTACACCTTTTCACGGTTGCCTGGGATATTTGGGGTCCCTCAAGATTCCATGTAAATTTTAGGATGTGCTTTTCTGTTTCTGCCCAGCACAAGATCCTGGGATCGGGCAGGGCTGCAGGTGAGTGTATGCACTGTGGGTGGTTCCGCCCTGCCACACAGGAGTCCTTCAGGACCGCGGGCTCTCTTCCCCTTCCTGCAGCAGCGTTTCCAAGACCTTCCTCTCCTCGGGTACATTCATTCCGAAGCATTTTACCCTTTGGTGCCATGGGACGTGCAATTGCTCTCTTAGTCCTGTTCATCATTAGCAAGCAGCACTGCCACTGACCTTGGCCTGTGCTGTGTCCCTGACTTTGCTGGGTTCACCCTTGCGTTCCAGCAGTCTGTCTTCTCCGTCTGCAGGCCGCATGAAGCCCACTCCATCTGCACAGAGGAGCGCTTCATGCTTCTCAGTTCTCCTTCCATCTTCCTTTCCTGCCACGCTCTGAGGATGCGGGTTTCCAGTGCTTGCGGACAGTGGCAAGAGCAGAGCCTGCCTTGACGCCACCGCAGAGCTCCTCAGTCTCTCATGTGAGATCCAGGCTCTTGAGACAGAGTTTGACTGTGTGGACGTAGTTTTTCTTCCACTCCTAGTGAGTTGAGTGTTTTCATCATAAAATGGCATTGAATTTTGTCAAATGATCTTTTCTTTCTGTTGATGACTTTTTAAAGAAAATTAGAGCATTATAGTTGCACAGAGTAGTTGGGTTCATTTTGACAAAACTACACATGCATAAAATTTGACTTTCTCCTTTCCATTCCCCTTCCTTCCTCTTTCCCTCCCTTCTCTCTCCCTTATTCTCCTTCCTCCCTGATCTTCCTTCTGCTCATCTATTTATTTTTGATTGGTGCTTTGTACACACACAGAGTGGTGAGATTCACATGACTTTGTTAAATTCATTCCATTTCTCCCCTTTCCCTCCTTCCTCTGTCCTTCCCAGTCTCCTTCTAGTCCACTGAGCTTCCCTATCTTTATGACATCTCATTCCCCTTCCCCTCATTTTGCTCTAGCTTCTGCAGATAAGAGAAAATGTCCCACCCTGGATGCTCTGACCTGGCTTATTTCACTTTCACCAGAAAGTGCAATGATTTTATTCTTCTTTATGGTTGAATAAAGCTCCATTCTGTGTATGTTCCACATTTCCTTTATACTTTCATCTGTTGACAGGCACTGGAGATGGATCCTTAACCTGGATATTGTGAACTGTGCTGTAAACATTGAGGTGGCTGTTTGGCTGATTTTAGTTCTTTTGGATAAATACCAATGAGTGAGATACCTGGGTCATATGGTGGTTCCATTCCTAGTATTTTGAGGAGTCTCCATACTATTTTCTAGAGTGGTCGCACCAATTTGCAGTCCCACCAACAATATATGAGTGTACTTTCCCCCCATATCCTCTCCAGCATTTATTATAATTTGTATTCTTGATTATTGCCATTCTGACTGGAGTGAGATGATGTCTCAGTATAGCTTTGATTGGCACTTCCCTTAATTCCTAAGTCTTTGATCCATTTTGATTTGACTCTTGAGCAGGGTAAGAGATAGGAATCTTGTTTCTTTCTTTGACATATGAAGTCCAGTTTTCCCAGCACCATGTCAATGATCTTTTATCATTCAAGCTGAGCAATTGTTTTCTTCATACTTTACTGAGGTGTGATTGGCATACATAAAGCTGTACACATTTAACATGCACAGCTGAGTGAGTCTGGAGGTAAGTACACAACTATGAAACCATCTCCATGATCTATGCCATGAACACTTCCATCTCCTCCCAAAGTCTCCCCTGCCCTCTTTACTCACATCTTCATTTCTGTGATAGGAACACTTACAGAAGATCTGCGCTGGCACCTTTCCTGGTGCACCACGCAGCACGGTACAGAGGTGCTGTGCTGCAGCACGGCTCCCGAGGGCCCACCCACCGGCCCGGGGAGCCTCTGTGCCCTGCTGCTCTCCTTTCCTCTTTCTGGTCCCCGGCAGCAGCAGCTTGCTTTCTGCTTCTGTGAGTTCTGTGGACTCCATGCAGCATCTGTCCTCGTGTCTCCAAGTTCCCCCGGGGGGAACCCTTCCTGCCTAAGACTGGGAACGTGTTCCTGCAGGTGGGCACATTTCCTTTGTCCACTCTGTAGATGGGATTCAGGTTCCTTCATGTCTTATACAAGGCGAGTTGTGATGCAGAGAATGTGACAGTGCAGGTGTTGCTTGAGATTATCACTTTAATTCCTTTGCATATAACCTAGAAGTGGGGTGGGTGGGTGGCAGGATCGTGTGGATTCCACTTTACTGAGGAAGCCCCACATGGTTTTCCATTGTGGCTGGAGAATCCCTTCCATGCCAATCATTCTGAGAGGAGTGCAGAGCATACCAGGTGCCCACTGCATCCACGAGAGGCCCATGTGCTGACCCTGTCACACTGACCACCGGTATGCATCTCAGCACTGCCCCTGCACCCCAGGGGTGAACACTACTTGGGGTTGTGATGTATGAGCTTCCCAGTGTGAGTTCCGCTCATGAGCATTTTGTGGGTTGCATCGTGGTTTGACAGGGACGTTGACCTGTGGTTCATTTTCTTGTGGTGTCTGTCTGGCTTTGGTGAGAGTTTGGGAGTG